ACATTAAATACACCAAACAACACATGAAGATAAAAGAAATAATATTTGTACTATAAAATATTAATATGTGCTGTTAATTTTATTATATATATATATTTATAAAACTGTCAGTTGATGTACTATATTTGTATTATATAAATATATATCTTATATATATAATATATATATTGTTATTATATGTTCGGTATATTAAATCAACACAGTACCAATCTATTATATAATAAATATAATTTGACATTTTCAAATCTACCTAGCGTGTTATAATTAAATTAAATTAAATCAAATCAATAATTTAATTAAATAAACGTAGCCAAGCCAATGGCAAAGTCGCATTTCACAAATCCCTCACCCCGACGGAACAATTAATAATAAAAATAGAATATAAGTCGCATTTGGATTAGGCACGACTTCAATGTAACTATATAGGTTATTTGTCCTAGTGTCTGTCCCATGCATTAGATACATACACGCAAATCCAATTAACAATAACCGAAAATTATTATTATTATTAATATTATTATTATTATTATTATTATTATTACTAAACATGTTTAGTATGTTAGCTATTAGATTTTTTTATATATAAAGAAAGCATAAAAATTAGAGAAATTTTTCTAGAATTTTTTTAAAAAATATATTATTATTTTTTATAAATATGCTTCGAATTATTTAAATTAAAAGTTAAATTAGAATTTTAAAATAAAAATTATACTGTTGCTATTGCTCCTATTTATTTATTGGTGAAATATTTGCCAAAAAGTAATAGTAGTAGCATAAAAAAATAAATTAATTCTTAAAATTTTCTTAATAATAGTAATAATAATAATAATAATGAGTGCATAAGGCTGTGCTTTTTGTTGGATTAAAGTTTGGGTTTTGAAGAATAAATTTTTTAATTTAATTAGTAGTTTGATAAGATATATAAATGCCTTAATGTTATTTTTTTAATGTAAAATTAAATTTTGTAAATTATATAACACTTCTTATTTTATCGTATTTTAGTAAAAATGCATAAAAAAATATATATTATTTATTGAGGGAAACTTTTTATTTTAATTTAAAATTTTTATAAAATATTTTTTTTTTTGTCCAAAATTGATGTTTGGTTGTAAATACAGACCATGCAAGTTTTATATAAATAAAAAAAAAGTAAAACATTTTAAATATTTTTTTTCAATAAAATAAATAATTGATCAACATTTTATTTTTATAATTTTTTATAAAAATTAGATAATAATTTATCTCTAAAAAACTATTAAATATATTTACCTATTTTATTTGTATAGAATCTGCATAATTAAATTCGTATTTACAGCCAAATATCAGTTTTGAACGAATATGATATTTTGTACAAATTTTACATTAAATAAATAAGAGAGTTTTACATAATAAATAAAATACATAATGTATTATACATTTTTATTAAAATATAAAAAGTGTCGTATAATTTACCTAATAATAAATAAAAAAAAATACGTATTTTATTTGATTTTTTTAAAAAAAATTAAAATTAAAATAGTCAATTTTCATCTTTACTTAAAAGTGGAACGAATTTTTCATTAAAAAAACATTATTTGTAAATTAATATTGTAACAATGTTATATCAATTTTAAAATAAAAATTGAAGGAAAATAGCGTGGTCATTTGCATCTATATTTTCTTTAAAAAAAAAAAAAAAAAAAAAGTATTCAATCACGTTTATATATAAAAATATTAAAACTAAAAATTAAATATTTACATAAATAATAAAACGGCGGTGAACTGTGCACAGCAAAAGCATCTAAAAACACAGCAGCAAAGAAGCAGTATAAATGATCCATTTCCATATGGTCCAAATACTACGAACTATTCAACTATATATGTGGATGGAGTCAATGATACTGACTGAGTGAGCTGATAAGCATAATCATTACAGTCAAATTCGACTGTCTGTCGTCTAAATAATATTAATATTAATAATGAGGTTAGTGTTATTTGATTTTATTTTCTTTTATAATGTTTATTGTTTTTTTAATGAAATATACTCTATTAATTTGTCCTTTTGGCCTAAGTATATAACTATTACTCTTTTGTACCATCATGTTAACGATATTAAAATTTAGATAAAATATAATTAATAAGTAATTGAAAAATATATTAATAAAAATAATTATAAATTAAAATTAAAATAAATAAATAATTTAATTAAATTACAAAAATTTTAAAATAGAATTTAAGTGTATAATTTTTTAAAAAAAAATAAAAAATTACATGCAACGAATGCAACGAAAGAAAATAAAAAAAATGAATATTTTATATATGAGACGGAAGGAGTGCATACAATAATGTTTTATTAAAAAAATAATTAAATAGATATAAAAATAGTAAATCAATAATTGTTGTGTGTGTGTTTGTTCATATTCAATTTGTCTATTTTATCAAACATTTACAAGTGACAAAATGAATGTTTGAAGGAAAGTTAATGGATGTAAGCTATATGGAAACTCACTCCACCCCATTTCGGTGCCAAAAAAATTTATGAGGAATTTTCATAAGCAAAGACTGTAGGATTGTAACACAACCCGACAGACTGCAAGGCTAGTTGTGAGTGAGTTTTGAGAGTGTATTTTAGAAAAAAAAATAAAAATAAAAATTGTGTAATGCTCTCACCTTTGTCCATCTTAATTTTCCATAGTTTGAATGAGTGTTTAGGATTAAAATTTAATTTAGAATTTATCGAAGATTGGAGTTAAAGGAGTTCAAACTGAAGAAGATAATTAGACTCTGAGTAGCTTTGCTATATAGTCGTTGTCCATAAGCGTTTGTGACAACGTGAACCGGTTGACGTATTTTTCAAAATAGGCTATGATAGGAGATTGAGTTGAAAGAATTGTAGTTATTTTATGTTCTGTAACTGATCAGTAAAACTTCTCCTGAATTGAAATATTCAAATCTAATCTCAAATATAAGTTAAGTGAATTTTCCGCGTTTCAAAAATTGACCCTAGTTCTAATTCACCATTTCCCAACAATTTTATCTTACAAAATAACAAGTAGACGTATACGATTAAAAAAAAAAAAAAAAAAAACTAAAGTAAACTCCACAATGAATCATTTCGCTTGTATAATTGGAATCAAGATAGTATGAATACACAACAATAAATTAAAAATTAAATTAAAAAATTATATGAAATATTTATTTATGACATCCCATACCAAATCCCATTTTTAATTCAAAAATTTAAGATTCCACCAGTCAATTGAGCGTTAGAACGTAGAGGAGAGGGCTGGAGTGGAATCAAGTTGAGTGTGTTTGTTTATGTATAAAATTAAAATACAATAAAAAGCTTGGAGTGAAAGCGAAGTTGAAAAGAGCAACCACGTATTCAATTGCCTTACGTCTTATCAATCAGACAAACACCAACTCCCAAAACAAATAAATAAAATAAGTAAATAATAAACGACAAAAAAGGATAAGTAGCTGTAGTTATCTATCTGTGTTCCCTTCCATTTTTACATTTTACAACATGATCACACACACACACTCACACTTCCGCCAGTGCTTATCCCTCTGGACACCATATTTACCAACTTGCATCAATTAAATAATAAATTAAACATTTAATAATAATAATAACATATTAAAAATGGGTTGATGTAGTTGTTGATATTATCTCACAATTGTAAAGAAATGTGGACAAAATGTCGTCTGCTTGCGGTGGCTGCGGGACTCCTGAGTCAGCAGCAGCCTGGAAATGGACGATAATTTCTGGATAATGCTTCCAACAAATACACTTCCATAGGATATTAAATACGACATGATTTTCTAACCTTGTAATGAATGCCACATTTGACTAAGAGGTACCAAAAGTAATATTGAATTACACAAATACCCTCGGCCCAAACCTGACTTATTGGGCGCCAAATATGAAATTACCAAACAAGTGAGACGTTAGTTGGAGAAACTCACTCTACTTCATCAATAATAGTACTTTTTCTTTTTCTTTCTTTTTATAATTTCAAAACTTCTATCTTAACCGAGCCTTTCCAATTGTATACCTTTTGATCTCCATTCCAATTCCTTTGGAATGGACAACGTCGATACCAGCTGCCATAATCGATACAAACATTAAAATAACTCAGGTTGCAAGAATAGCATGACAATGTGTATGTGTTATGTAATTATATACCTTGGAGTAACATTCCAAGATGTAATGTCTCCAAATTTGTTGGTGCTTCCTTATCATATACTGTCCTTCCAAGGATGACTCGATCGACAATAGAACATTCTTTCTTCTTATCAAATCAAACCCATTTCCTGGAGTGGCACATGCATTAATCTTCGAAAAATCATCTAAACAAAAATATAGTTGCACTCTTATTATTATTAGCTCATGAGGTCAAGATGATGAACTTGCATACGACTAAATATTTTGGTATCAGAATAATTAATGAACTTCGAAAAGAATTGACCATGTTGTTTAGAGTTAATACCACATTAGAGAAGATTGACAAAAAAACAGAATCGACCCTAATTATAGCTAAAACCATTTGAGAGCATATCAGATGATTCAATCGTGATAAATCGAACTCTAAAAAAAGTACACATGCAACATAGATTCAGTTATGTGTGATAATAATCCTCTCTGAGAAAAGGAAGGAGGAGGCAAAAAGAAGTAAGTTATTATGGAGGAAAGGATTGTCCAATCATCAATGTAAATATAACGATAATTACGAAATGATTCCAATGTATTTGGAGATACCATTATTGGGGTTAAAAGTCAAAAAGACATGCTCAATCAGGTGTCTTGCATTTAGCTTCTGCCATGGACAACAACTACACTTAGGGTGTGTTTACAGGATTATAATTTCTAATATTATTTCAATAAATTATATAATCATGAGATTTATTTAATATTATATTTACAATCTATCCAACCTTATCACCTTAAGAAAGCACACCCTTAATAAATAGGGAGCTTTCTAAGTCTCAAACTAATGCATAAATAAACCACAGGGAATTCCAGTTCATATTAAGACAATAACAGAGCATATTTCAAATGTAAATAGTATTGCAAAGCTGCAGAGACTATGTAGTGTGTGTACTTGTACCCAGAAACTCTGCAGGGTGTGTGTTAGATTGGTGCTGTAACTTTTCCCATCACTACCATATTTCATTAAACCAAAACTAGTAACCTAGGGTCACCTTCCTGTTTAAAAACGCCTCAGCTGATAGATATACCTGAAAATGGTCGAAGCTAGTTTTAGCAGGCACAATTGATCACACAACACACATTTTCTAGGAGAAAATGATAACAAGATGTGGGACTCTTTCATAATTATAACGAAAGTGTTTGCTAACTTAGATGGAATTCATGTAATGAAATGCAAAGGGGTGTGCAAATTATTGAAGGTTTCCATGCACAGTTATGAAAAAGTGGAAAAGGTCTGATGATATCAAATTTTCATCTGCTGCATAATATATAAATTTTCATCCTTTTCATTGTGTCAGTAAGATACTTTCAAACATGCTCACTTAGTTGCAGCACCATAATCACTGAAGCTTTAAGATTTGATGCACAGATCAATTAAGTTTAGTAAGGATGTGAGACGGAGGAAGTAATACCAATGTTTAGACAGGGTGGAATTCTTTCAAGGTATGCGCGTGTGTTCGCCACAAATCAAGGTACTGTGGAATTCTGTAAGCATTTAAATCATGATATACTTTATGATCTTTGGAATTGCAGTGGCCAAGAGCTTGTGCTATGTTGTATGCAACTCTCACACTCATTTCCCATGGCAGTAGCTGTTCATCCCTTGCAGAAAAAGGAAAAGTGTTCACTCAATTGATTTAGATGTGTGCACAGAAAAATGAAATAGAGGATGACCTGCACCACTTAAGTAATTCACATGCTGCGATGATAAAGAGCTAGCAAAATTATTATTTGAGACTTCACTAATTTGACTATTTTTTCTAAGCAGAGGAAGGAATTGTAGTGGGCAATATGGGATCAAGATGTGTAAAATAAATGTTCCATTATAAACTTATATGTCTAACCGAATCAAAATCGAAAAATGGAAATAACCAAACAATGAAAGAGATGATTTAACTGTGTATCATTAGACATTCATCTACTTCAGCACAACATCCAATTAAGTTCACAGTCTATCATTCTGCCTGCAGAGTAATCACATTATCAGCAATGTCGAGCAAAGTTCATCATCAATCCAAATCAATTGCTCGTGATGAACTGCTACTATTTCACATATATTACTCATGATGAACTCACCACAAACTGCTGAAGATCTAGCTAGTACTGATTCGAGAAGCGTTTAATGGCAATACGTTGTTCCTCTCCACACTCAGAAACAACCAATTCACTGCTAAAACCATTGGCTGCGGCAAACAGCTCTGCACGCTGAAATTCCTTGGATTCACATCATCAAATTTCATTCATTACAAAAAAACATACATGTTCTAAATGTAGTAAGTATTATACAATACAAATCAGACGCATATCACACTCATTGTTGTTCCCCTAAAACCACAAGCTCAATGCTAAACTACAAATTGAGCATAAAGCAGATTAGCAGGGTCGGGAGCGTGTTCAAAAGGAATCAGAGAACGAGTTATTACACAAAGAGCTCTTAGCAACCGCTAGTACACATCAATTAAAGAAGAACAGAGAAACAGTGATCACCTAGATCTGGTTTTTCTTCGGGAGAGTGGACATTTGCATGCAAACACCTCATCCTCAATCCAACTACATTCACAGTTCCCCTGCTTGTAAAAATACTCGGAAAGCCTCGAACAACAGGGAAGAATCTCCGCAGCTGAATCGACACGGGTAAGCGAATGATTCGACCTTTGAGAAGGCAGCGAGCGAACTGAAGTGGAAGAAGGTGAGGCCGTGAGATCAGGACAATGACAATGGCGGATGATTGGCACGTGAGAGAGCGAGAGACGGAGGCATGAGTCATGCAGTTGTCACGTGACATAGAAGGTCAGTAGTGCAGTGCTTTTTCTTGGGGGACTTTTGGGTTTTGTAATCCCCAATAAATCGTCACCGTTACTTAGATGGGCCCACTCAATTAACGGATTGGAGTCGCATTAGAATCCTGGGCTTGTTCGCTCTTTAATTAACTACAAACAAAAGATATTTATTTTTTTCTCTGTAACCTAAAATGGCCCAACCTGATTCATAGGCCCAATTAGAAAGTTACAAATGTAATACATAGCTCATTGGCTGCAATTTATATTCACTCTCTCCGTCCGTAGACACTACATCCACGTTGCCGTTTTTGTCCGTCTCACATATCATGTTACTTTTCTTTTTTGAAAAATGATACACACTTTAATCTCATTTTAAATTTTTAATTTTTTTTTAATTTTAATTAAATTAATTAGTTATCTGAATCTTAATTTATAATTATTTATATTATAGATAATTATTTTCACTAATTCATTCTTAATTATCTACTAATTACATCCCTCTTAAAATATCGTGTCTACAGTGCAGCAGACACGGTATTTGGGACGAAGGGAGTAATATTTTAGTTTAATTTAATAAAATTTAACATTTGTAATAAATTTATTTTATAGTTCAATGTACAATGTTGTTATAGAATTTACTACCTCTGTAGGTATTACCTGCTTTTTTTTTTTTCTTTTTTTCTTTTTTTTATTTGTCTGTACTTTTTATGATGTTTTGCCTGTTTGTCGGGTTGGATTTGACATTTCTTTTCAGACCCTTATCTAATTTGATTTCACTTCACTGCTTAGAGTAATTAATGTAAAAATATGTAATGTTTGGTAAAGCTATTTATGCAATTATCACTTTGTTGTAAACAATTGGAGCAATGGGTGTGATTCATACATCATTTCAAGAATCTTCGATGTGACTCTACACTCACTGCCTGTGAATATATTAGACTGTATTTACATAAATAATTTAAAATATTTTGACTCTAATTTGTTAACAATATATATATTTTTAAATATCATATTAAATATTTATATTGTCTTAAAAAATATTATATGAAACATTTAAATTTTACTGTTTTAAGATTTTTTCAAAAATTAAAAAAATAATAATAAAAAAAACCCTCTATTTAAATGAAACTTAAATAATTTATTTGAAATACAGTATAACATAAAAATTTAGATGATGTTTAAATGTACTTTAGAAGTATTTAGAAAGTTTGAGTTAGTTTGGAAATAGTAAAAACTTGATCATAATTTATATTTTTTACATCATATAAATCGATATTGAATGTTATATATTAATGTAATATTTTAACTGAAAAATATATATTTTTTTTATTTTTTAAAATAAATAATATAAAAAGGTTTTGAAAACATAAATAAACATTATAGTCTAATCCACCAAACTACTTACAAAACTTGTAAAAAAAAATTACTTATATCTTTTGAAAAAAAAAAAAACAAAAAAACATTAATAAGCAGTACCAAAAGTTACAAAAGTATTACTCCCTCCGTCCCATGTAATATGAGTGTATTACTGTGGACACGGAAATTTAGGTAAAGTATAATTAGTAAGTAATTAAGAATGTATTAGTAAAAATAATTATTATTTAGTAAAAATAATTATAGATTAAGATTAAGATAAATAAATATTTTAATTAAAATTAAGAAAATTATAAAATTTAAAATGCGATTAAAATGTATAATTATATTTCCAAAAATAGAAAGGACAAGTTATGTGGGACGGACGAAAATAGAAAATAGGAACAAATTATGTGGGATGGAGGGAGTACATTTCAAATAACCTCAAGTAAATATGAAATTTTGTATCATATGTTTGAAATTTCTAATAACAATAAAAAGAAATACATACTTAAAAAATAAAAGAATTAACAATTTCTTGACCTCATATGACATACACACAAAAATACATTCAATTTATTTTGTATATATATAAAATAAAAAAAAACTTAAAAAAAAAAAAACTAAGTCAAGTTAAGTTAGAATAATCTAGTTAAATTAGCAAATACTCTACTATATATATTTCTACAAACTAATGATCTGAATTCTTCAATGTGACACTTAGGTTGTAATTAAACAGAACACGAAGCATTATCCATCAAATGATTGGACGTGGTGTTTTGTTTTTAGTTTGATTTCAATTTAGTTGGTCTGAATATATATTCATTTAAATGTAATATTTTATGATAAAAATATATTTTTATAAAAACAAATGTAGATGTTAAATGAATTTAAAAAATAGAGCCGTAATCGGGGGCGGAACTACACTAGGGCTTGAAGGGTCACTTGACCCCTCAAGCCAAATTTTTTATAATTTTTTTAGTATTAAAAATATTAATTTTTATATATTTATATACAATTTGTCTCCAAAATTGTCTAAATTCATATATAATTTTGTCATTATTATTTATTTAAATTTATTAATTAAATATTAAATAAATTATAACATTTTGCCCCCGCCCAAAATTTAAATGCTAGTTTCGTCGTCGCTGGCTGTAATGCCTCTTCATACATACGTACATATATATATATATATATGTGTTGAAAAGTAGCAAGACATGTGGGCTGCACTTTTAACTTGGACAAGATCTAACATGTTGCACATGCATCCATAATCACGGATATACCAATACATGTCGTTGTGTTGTAACGTTCAAGTTTCAGAATAATCGAACAATTTTTTTGATGTGTTTTTTCAAATTTAAATAAAAAAAATGATTTAGCTTAAATTTTATATTTAAATAATATTTTATTTAATATTTTGTGAACATAGAGTTCAAAAAATAAAAAATTATAAACAAAAGTTTAAAAGAAACATACTATTACACTATATATGTCTAGATGTTTTTTACTATTTGAATTATGTATTTATTTTTTTTTAAAAAAAAATATTTTTTCTTTCGCAAAATATCTTACCATGTATTATATTAATACTAAACTCAAATCTTGATTTTCTGTCTTAACAAATTAATGTCAAAAAATGTAAGCACCTTTAGAGCTTGTGGCAGACATTTAAAGATGCTCAAAAAGGAGAGGACTGATGTATAGTTTTGTGGGTCATTTTTATTGTCATTACATTTTGACAGTAAATCGATGGTTTCCTCATCTGGTAAAAAGCAGACAGACAGCCAAACATGATTAGATGAGGTTAGGACACAAACAAGAATTTTTTTTTTTTTTTTGTTGTTGTTGTTGGTGTGTGTTTTTCTTTTAGTATATAAAGCTGGCCCATTTCCAATTTTATTCCAACACTTAATAGCAATGAAACAATAGCAGTTTGTTTGTTGAGGATTCACTGGATAAAATAGCCTCCACGCACTTTGTTTTGGTTCCACTTATTCGATTCAAGAATTGGATAATATTGGATTTGTTTAGACAGAATTATTTTTTGGAGGTTTTTAGAAATTTGAAAATTTGAAAAAAAAAATAAAAAATTAATATTTGATTCGATGTTTTGTGAGAAAAAAAAAAAGTATTTGATGTGATATTTTTTTAAAAAAATAAATAGAAAAAATGTGTTTGTGTAAACAGAGTTCTTATATAGATTAATTAATATTCATTGCATTCGTATAAACTAAACCCACTATAAATTTCAGGTTAATTAACTAGTCATGTCTTGTTCTTACACTAATCCACACTTTTTTAAGAACCAAAATATTAATGTAAATCATGTTATATTGTGAAGCTCCAGCTAAAATCTGTACGTCCAAGTCCTATAACAAAATTTGTAGTCTGTCCATACAATTAGGTTGTTATTTGTATATGTTTATAATGGCGCAAAATATCCAAGTGAATGTAATTTACTATATCTCGTCCAGTTCTTGTATCTTTTCTTTTAAAAAAAAATAATTCAATTTGTAACTGTATAAGTTAGTTGCAAACTCAAGTTCGACATTACAATTTAAATAAAAATTTACATTTTATAAATTTTACTAATACGAAACATTTTAGAGAAAGTTCAGATACAAAACAATATCAATATCATACTAATGTTGCGTTAGACTTGGTCCTAACAATATAAGCATATTCATTTATATTTTTGTTAACCCACAACACCAAACCATTTTGTTGTGTTTTAATTTGTCAAGAAAGAAGGTGGCATGTGAATCTGAGATTCCATTATAAAAAGAGTACAACCATTGGATGTATGTGGTGACCACATTCCAAATTATAAATATATATATATATATATTCTTTCTAATATCACAATTATATCAAACTCCTACATAAATAGTTGGTGAGTTACGAGGAGGGTTTTAGAACATAAATATTTATTTATTTAAAAACTTCCGTAGAGTTTATAAAATATTGAACTGGATAAACCTACTTTTAATTTAAATAAACACTATTATTACAACCATGCTAATTACCAAATTGGACATTAATTCCGTGCCAGTTACACACACATAAAAGTCGGTCAGTCGGGCAGGAAGAATACGGAAAACTAAGCCCGACTGGGTGATTAAAAATTTAAAATGAAGAAATTAATTATTAATAAATGAGAGATAAATGCAAGAAGAAGAGAAGTGACCAAGTAAAAATAAAAAAATAAAAAAAAAAATAAAAGAAAATAAAATAGTGTAATTGAATTGTTAATTGTGTTGTCCCACCTGATCCTGTTGTCGAATGTCCAGTGGGTTGAGTGGGAGGTGGCCTGGTGGATTATATATTGTATTTTTCTATCTCTATTTTTGTATCTATCCAAGACAAAACACCCAATCCATTTTCTGGCCAGGTCAGGTCACTAAGTCAGTCTCGATATCTCAGATTTATAAAATACTAAATAGAAAAAAAGTCAAGTCTCATATATACTGAGGGAATGGTTAGGACTTATTAATATTAATTAATCTATTTCTATTATATTAATATTAATATAAATTATATTTATATTATACTCCATTTCTATTATATTAATATAAATTATATTTATTTATATATATATATATATTAACGTTTCTGTTTTCCTCACCCACCCATGTATATATGTATATACAGGGGTACAAGTTCCAAATAGGAGTAAGTACACACTAGCATACAATGAATGCACCAAACGGACAAAACCCCTTTTCCCCAATTCCGGCCGGCACAGATTTTATTACATCCTCTTTCCCAAGTTCACATTTTTCAACAATCCCTACCCCCTTCCTCTCTCTCCTCTCTCTCTCTCTCACCAACCCCAATTCTCCCCCGCTATATATCTCCCACCATTTCCATCCCCATCCCCATCGTCTCACAACGGCAGCACAAGAAACCAAAAACAAAACCAACCAAACAGTCTTAAGCTCCAAGGTTTGCTGCAATGGCGGGGTGGGTGGTATGGGGCGTGTGGATCACAATGGCTATGGTGGCCCTGAAATGGGCTTTGCGTCGTGTCAATTACTGGCTTTACGAAGCGAAATTGGGTCCTAAAAGATTCAACCTTCCCCCAGGTGATATGAGCTGGCCTGTCATTGGCAACATGTGGCACTTCCTTCGAGCCTTCAAGTCCAACAATCCTGACTCTTTCATCTCCTCCTTCATTCGCAGGTACAAAGAAAGAAACTTGGGAATCATTTGCTGTAATGATTCTTCCATAGGATTTTTTGAATTTTCGAACAATTTAATCTCGATTACCTCTCTACTGTCTTTTTCATACATGTACGAGGTTTCTCCCAATTATTACATCCTCACGGATGACTATGCTTAGTCCCTTTCACTCTTTTTATCAATCGATTTTGTCGTCTGATTTTGGGGCAGATTTGGGAACACGGGGATGTACAAAGTGTTCATGTTCGGGAACCCCAGCATTATTGTAACATCGGCGGAAGGTTGCCGGAAAGTTCTCTCCGACGACGAGGGATTCAGGCCCGGCTGGCCGGCGTCCACCGTGGAGCTCATGGGAAGGAAGTCGTTCGTCGGAATTTACGACGAGGAGCACAAGTGGCTGCGGAAATTGACGGCGGCGCCGGTGAACGGACACGAAGCTTTGTCTGTTTACATTACTTACATCGAGGAGAATGTCATTAGGGCTTTGAACGAATGGTCCAACATGCGACAAATCGAATTTCTTACCGAGCTCCGGGGGCTGACGTTTCGCATAATTATGCACATTTTCCTTAGCTCTGAGAGCGAGCTCGTGACGAAGGCGTTGGAGAAGGAATACACGGTGTTAAATTACGGCGTTAGGGCTATGAAGATCAATTTTCCTGGATTTGTTTACTACAATTCACTTAAGGTTCTAATTCGACAAATTTTGTTTTTAATTATGTTGAAAGAGTTTGTAAGATTTTAATTGTGCTTTTATGTTCGATTTTCAGGCAAGGAAGAATCTTGTTGGTGTTGTTCAATCCATCGTGACGAAGAGAAGGATGCTGAGGAGGGATAGCTCTGCAGCAAAGAAGAAGGATATGATGGATGCTTTAATGGATGTCGAGGACGATAAGGGTCGAAAATTGACCGACGAAGAAATTATCGATATTCTTATCATGTATTTAAATGCTGGACATGAATCTTCCGGACATATTACAATGTGGGCTGCTGTGCTTCTGCAAAAGCATCCTGAAATCTTTAAGAAGGCGAAGGTATTGAGTTATGTAATAAAATTTTTTTTGATGTGTAAATTTGATGAATTCTATTGCTAAATGTTTCTTACAATTTTTTTTCAGGCTGAGCAAGAGGAGATCTTGAAGAAGAGGCCAGCTGGGCAGAAAGGTTTGACACTTCGAGAAATCCGACAAATGGAGTATCTTTCCAAGGTTTGGTTTATCCATTTTCAGACATGTTTGCTATGTAATAAATTGTATTGATGTTGTTTTCAAGAAATAAAAATGTGATCTTTCTTGCAGGTTGTTGATGAAACTCTTCGTCTTGTCACTTTTTCACTCGTTGTCTTCCGTGAGGCTAAGAAAGATGTCAATGTTAGCGGTAAGAGCTTCATTGTTGTTGTTCTTGTTGATTCTATTTGATTAGATGAATAAATGTTGTTTGTATTTATTCATAGGTTACCTTATACCCAAGGGATGGAAAGTGTTGGTTTGGTTTAGGGACGTTCATTATGACCCCGAGACATACCCTGACCCCATGAAGTTCGATCCTTCCCGTTGGGATGTGAGTTTTAAACCTTATTGAATCCTCAAATCCTATGTTGTCCTTAGAAAATGTTGTAGGTAATAATAACTAATATGTAATTTTGTATGTAGGATTTTACCCCGAAAGCTGGGCAATTCCTCCCGTTCGGCGCCGGAAGCAGACTCTGCCCCGGAAACGACCTGGCCAAGCTCGAGATTTCCATCTTTCTACACCATTTTCTCTTGAACTATGAGTCAGTACTCGTTAAATTGTTATTATTATTTCTTTAATGATGTTCGATAATTTTAAGAACAATAATTTGGTTGGATTGTAGGCTGGAGAGGTTTAATCCGGATAGCCCGCTGATGTATTTGCCGCACACAAGGCCGAAGGACAATTGCCTTGGGAGGATCCGAAGAGTCTCCTCTGTGGCTTAGATTTTGCTTTGCTTTTGCTGTTGCTGTTGGAACTGCTTCTGCAATAAGTGATTTGGAATGAAGTTTGGTGTCTGTTTGTTTTTGTTTCAGTTTCAGTTTCTGTTTGGGTCTGTCGTTCTGTGGGATGATGGTTTGGTGTCTAGCTGGTGATGTGTTGTGTATCTATCTAGCTACTGTTTATTACCGTCTCAATAAAAGTATGGTTAGCTTTCTTTGATTTCTGGTTGCCTCTAATAAAGATTTCTTAGATTTTGGCAAAGGGTGGCATTTGTTTTTTGCAGATATATTTTTGAATATTATTATTATATTAAATTGTAATAAAAAGAGTATTTATTATGTTAATTAGGTAATGATAATGTTAAGAATTATATAATGTATTATTTTAAAGAAATCCTACTCAATAAAGTTGGTCCTTATTGGGCCTTTATGCCAATGAAAAAATAGCTTCTTCTGTATGTACAAAGATTTTTAATAATGTTAAATTTTGTGAAGAAAGGTTTTTTCTGTCCCCAAAAAATGTAAAAAAACATTTAATTTTTATATATTTAAAAATAGTTAGTTTTACCAAAAAAATTGAAAAAATTCAAATTCTAAGTTAATAAAAAAAATAAAAAAAAAAAATTGATGGAGATGGTTGAGAAGAAAATCTATAAAGCCGGACATATATATATTTACCAATATCTCAGCGTTAGATCTCATTTTTCGGAAACCTATCTATCTCTACGGACATTCTTATCCATTCCAACATTTTATATAATTCTTGCCATAAATAATTTAAATGTCTGATAAAAAATCGAAAAAAGCAAAAGTAGTAACAATGCAGGCCATAAAGGAGAAGTTCAACGACATGAAAGCCATGCGGCAAGCCAAGGCCGAAGCCAGAGAGGAGGAAAAGGTACGGAACGACCTAGTACGACGCCGTTTTAAAAGTTGTGGTAAAACGTCGTTTTCTGTACTGTGATTTCAATTTACGCAGGCGGAGAAGGAGGCGGCAAAAGCGAGGGTGGAGGCGGCGCGCGAGATGAGAATGGCGAGGGAAGCCGAAGCTCAGAAGAATCTCCACGTCAGCAAAGCCGTCGAGAAGGTGGAGCAGGAGGAGGAGCGCGGCAACGACGCCGCCATGCCTCCGCCGTCTTCCGGTACTAACGCCGCCGCCACCGCTGCCGGAAATCACCACACAGCAGCTCGCAGCAACCTACCTTAATTAATTAAATCATTTTATTATTAATTAGGTGATGAAATGCAGTTTTAATTAATTAGTCATTCAATTACGTTGTTTTAGAGTTTTATCTTTTTTTTTTTTTTTTTTTTTTTTTTTGAGTGTGTTATTTGTTGTTTTTATTTTAAAAATCAATAAGTACTATTAATTTGGATACGATTTTATCATTTTTTACATTTTGACAGTGGGCCCAAATAAGTACTGGGCTTACAAAGAGTATCGGTTTGGGCCTCATAAAAAGCAAAATTACTTTATTTTCTTAACTATCATTTCTTAAATTTATAGACCAATTATAATAAATACTAATATTGTGACAAAATTATATTTATGTGTTATAGCTAGATTTATTATTATTATTATTAATTTTAATTTCTAGCATCTTTACATCTACACGTGTAAATTTATATTAACGATTTTAATTTATTTAACATTGGTTGATATTTTAATTTATTTATATTAATTTGCAAACGATTTTATTAAATTTTTTTTTTGGAGAGTTGGTTCGATTATATAATGGATCTGATAAATAACACAAGTTATTAGAGGCAAGAATCTATATTAATCATAAATAAATATATATTTTTATATAAATTAAAAATTCTATATTTTTATAAAAACTAGTTTATATTAATCATAAACAAATAAATATTTTTTTATTTGTTTATTTTATATAAAATTGTATTCTCTACAAAATAACATTTATATTGTATATATTTTATTAAAATATACTAAAAGTATTAAAATATTTAAATACATATACTAAATTTTTTAATCATATATATTAATTCATATTTTAAAAAATACCAACATCACTCAGTATAAAAAATTAATAGCATAACTTATTATTAATAACTTACTAATATTTACTATCTAAATAACCGTATCAATGGAGGGAGTGCTCATATAGAATATTCGGTTGACTTATTGTGAAACAAATTTCAATTTATACATTTCTCAAATGGTAATATTTTGGATAAAAATAATATGTAATATATTAATTAAAAAATTACTCCTAATATATAATGTGATATTTTAAACAAAAAAATTATGCAAATACATTCTAATAAAGTAGAAAAATAGGACCAAACAACATTATATTTAATTTGTATTTAGGGATAGTCTTAATAATTTGGAAAACAATTATTATTATTATTATTATTATTATTATTATTATTATTATTATTATTATTATTATTATTATTATTATTATCCATAAAAAGTACATAGAAAAAGATTGATTTGAAATGATTTTATTTATATAATCCCGTTTGATATTTTAATTTATTTATATTAATTTATATAATGGATCTGATAAACATCACAAGTAGTTAATTTATAAATTATCCTCTAATTGGTTGGGAATATGTAATAATGGTAACATTTATAATTTATTTAAGAAAAAGCAACTAACCTTTTAAATTTATAAAGTAAGTATAATGAAATAATGAACTGACCAAATTATTTACACTAACATTTTATTCTTTCAATATTTCAAATAAAAATTAATACTATTCACTTTATATAATTTTCAATAAAAATTTATTATTCCTTTTTTTACAAAACATAATGTCAAAATATTATTTAAATAAAAATTCAAATTAACATACTATTTCAAATCAATTTCAAACAGTATATAACCCAATAAACCTAAATTATTGAGTAATAAATAAAAGTAATTATAAAATTCATAAATATACACAATAAGGATAAATTAATTTCCTTTAGTATTACAAATGTAAAATTTGCGATATAGTATGCGATAAGATTGCTACAATATTTTGACAACTCGATCGATAAAATCTGATAGTTTACGGATATCTTGTTATCATTATGTAAACATAAACTACGCTAATATTTGCAAGTAGCCACATATACTCAACGATAACTTAAAATGGGCATTAATATATTATTTATTATCTTTTTATTGTTATTAATTAATATCGTAACTTCTAGACTAAAAGATATTCGATGAAATCAATACTTCCATATTCTATATTATTTTGTATCCACGCGTAAATATTTATATTAGAGATCAATTAAGTTTAGTGTCGTAAATTTATAAATTTTATTTTTAAACTATGGTTTTTCGCGGGAACATACATGTATATATTTTTAAATGATAATTATTTGAATGCATTTATATTGTAATTTGATGTAAATAATATAATATTTTTTCTTTCTTAATTTTGCTTTAGTGGTAATTATTTGAGTACAATGTACATTATTATGTATAATATTTTGATGTTACACAAAGAATTTCATGCATTATTATTAACGTAACAATGTTTATTTATTTTATTATACTTTTAAAATTATTTTTCCTATGATTTTTATTTGACTTAGGGTTTATTTGATTAGATAGTGTGAATTTCTTTATTATTAATGTATTCTAAGAAGAGATAATCATTATTATTATTATTATTATTATTATTATTATTATTTACATGATTCTATCGGATTTTTCATTTAGAATATGTGCTCACTTATAAAACAATACATGTAATTTAGGGTGTGTTTGTTGCAAGTTGCGAGTTGTTAAAAAAATCATAATAATTTTAATATTGAATAATATATTTTTGGTTATAAATTAAGTTATGATAAATTAAATTTTTTTTAAAAAATTATAATACAAATAAAAAAAAATTGCATTCATATGTAATTAATAAAAATTACTTCACCCGTCTCATTTACTGTGTGCACATTTCTATTTTCGTATGTCTATTTAGTCCGCCACTTTTCTTTAGGAAAAAAATTATATACTTTGATGTCATTTTAAATTTAATTTATAATTTTTTCAACTTTTATTAGCCTAACTAGTTATCTCAATCTAAAATTATTTTTATTATATAATAATAATTATTTTCACTAATACATTCCTAATTATTTACAAATTATATCCCTCATAAATTTTCGTGTCTACAAAGAAAATGCGGAGGAAGTACTTTATAAACTTATAGGAAATTTCAAACATATATTTGTACAATTGAGTCTTATTCAAAAAAAAAAAAAATAAAAAAATTGAAGAAATAATTAAGATGAAAAAAATAATAAAAAAAATAAAAAATGAAGGGACCTTTAATTTCTAAATTACCCTTTCATTAGTTGGGAATATATAATTATCGAAACATTTATATTTTTTTTTGCGTTATTATATTTAATATTAAAAATATTTTTATATTTATATAATATTTTCAATTTGTTTTTTTCATATTATACAAAGGTATTTTATATTTTATTTTGATTTGTATTACGTATAAATATAATTTTAATATTTAAAATTCAATATGTATAATGAATAAATCAACTAACCTTTTAAATTTATAAAGTAAGTATAATAAAAAATGAATTGACCAAATTATTTACTTGGTTGGTTTACCATACTCTTAATTAGATTGTTGAGTAATAAATAAAAAGTAATTTTAAAATAAAATATATTTATAAAATATTCATAAAAATATGAGGAAGACTAAATTAATCTACTTTACAATTACAAATATAAAATTATATAGGTGACATAATACATGATAAGATAGCGACAATATTTTGACAACTTGATCGACAAAATCTGATAGTTTACAAATAGCTCGTTACATAAATATAGGCAATGTTAATACTTACAAATGGACAAATCGACCTCGATGATAACTTAACGAGTGTTAATAGATTATATACTCTATTTATCATCTTCTATTTATGCGATCTTTTAGTATAATCGAAAATGATCATTATAAGTAATAATTTCAGATTTTTATTGCGTCCACGTGTAAATATTTATATCAACGACAATTTCAATTCAACTTAACAACGATTATTTGAATTTACTTCAACGGTACTAACGAATATTTAAATTTAACATTTTAAATTTTTAAATTTCAAAATTTGATATTCGAGCCATATTTTCAACAGTATTAACGAACATTTAAATTTAACATTCTAAATATGATATCCCAACTATATTTTTTAACGGTATTACGGAACATTTAAATCTAACATCCTAACTATTATAAATTTCAAAATTTGATCTTCGAACCATATTTTTCGCGGCATATCATTAAACCATACATTGATTTATTATAAATCAAAATTCAATTTCTTATGCTATTCTAAGTGATATTTATTTGAATGTGTTCAAAATAAAAAACAAAAACAAAAACCCTAACCCCAGATTTTCATCTCAATGTTTCTCTTAATGATTTGAGGTAAGTAATTTGTGTAAGAAATTGAAATTGATTGGTTGTTTCTTGCATACATATTATTTTTTTATATCATCATATTATTGTTTTGTATTTGCAAAAAAATTAAAAATAATAAAAGTAAAAAACCATAGGAAATTATAAAATAAAAACGACTGATAGTATTTCAGATAGAACTGACTGGGATTTCCCCGTAGGAGGAAAATCCTTACATTCGACACACAAATGCAGAAAAACATAAACAGACAGACACTAATCCAAACATGGATCGACCCTAAAACAGACAGACAGACAGACACTGATACTCATACTCATACTCATACTGATACTGATAGTACTGATACTGACACATACATATACATATATATGTATGTATATACATACATACATATGCACATATATAGGCATACAGACAAGACAGACACTACTGCAATACTGAAATTCGAAACGACCTAAAGCACAGACAGACAATAGCAATAACAAAGACGGCAACAGTTCATCATCCAGATCTATTTGGCGGCGGCGGCGGTGGAGGTGGAGGCGCCGGCGGTATCAACCCCATCGAAGTTGTTGAAATAAAACGGCATCAGCAAGCTGTCATAGTAATCCCACGAATAGCCGCCGCTGTAGCCGGCGGTGGCCGTCGGCGTCGCCGTCGGGCTCTCCATCACGTCCCACGGACACTGCTCCCAGATGTTACCGTTATCGTAGGTCGGCGTCATCGCGAAGTCGTACGCCGGCAGCTGAAGCGGAGTCAAGGCCGGAGGCGGATACTGAACCGGAGCCGGCGGGTCGGGGATATAAAGCGGAGCCGGCGGGTCAGGG